CCCCCCTGTTCTGGTACTCCAGTCACTCATATTTTATTCTTCTTGATAGAGTCTCCCATAATTCTTAGGGTTTCTTCATTTTTTAAAATTTTTCCTCAAATAAGTTGGTGTCAAGTGCTTTATCTTCAGTCTCACTAATTCTGTCTTCCATTGCCTCAATTCTGCTCCTATGACTTTCTATTGAGTTGTCTGATTCTGAAATTTTATTGTTAATCTTCTGTATTTCTTTTTGCTGTCTCTCTGGATTCTTGCAGCCTGTTAAATTTGTCATTATGCTGTTCTATAATGTTAAGTTCCTCTATTGCTTTGTCTGTGTGTTCCTGGATTGTTCTGTGTTTTGCCTGATTTCCTTCCTGATGTCTTGAAGAGTTCTGTATATTAATCTTTTGTATTCTACCTCCGGTCATTCCAAGAAGTTCTCTTCCTCTGGAAAATTTCTTCATTCTTTGTTTTGGGAGCTTGCTGAAGCCATCATGGTCTGCCTCTTTATGTGATTTGATATTGACTGTTGTCTCTAATCCATCAATAAGTTACTGTATTTATTTTATAATTTTCTTACTGTGTCCTAGCTTCTTGTTTTGTTAGGTTTTGATATGCCCAGATAGGCTGCTCCTGTGAACTAGTTTGATTATTTGTACCTTTGAAGCCCTAACGTCCTGTCACCAGGTGGTTAGATGTATTACTAGGTATGTGACCCCAGGAGTCTGTTTACTTTTCTCATACAGATTCAGCTCAGGTGTCCAGGTAGCCAGTCACCAAGTGTTTGGTGCAGGCTCTCACCTGCAGTCCTAGATGGGCAGGGGTGATTGGTGTAGGCATAGATATCTGGCTACAGTAGTGCATCACATGCTGAGCAAGGCAGGGGGCCGATAGCTGCCCCTGAGTGGGAGGAAAGTGTATCCCTGTTCCCTAGAGTGCGTAGGTGGGTGGGTTTTACAGCTGGACTATGGGCACCCAGTGCTGTTTCCTGTAAGGACTGGGAGGCATCACTTATTCTTGGACCCCTGTAGCAGGTGGCTAGGTGGCATGGGTGGAGCCACCAGTCCTGAGGCTCCTGATGTGGGTAGGTGAGGACCATGCTTCATGGGCAGAGCAGTGTCAAATGTCATAAACCTACCACTCCACCATACAGCTGATACAGTTTAAGTTAGTCTTCAGGTATATACCATTTTGTATTGTTCTGATGAGGGCCTGCATTGTTGAAATAAGCCCACACAGGTCTAGGCAGGGGTGAAAGGCATTCAGAGTCCGTGGACCTTATACCTGTGCTTAGGCAAAGGAGCTGTGCCTGCCCTGAATTCCCAGCTTAGGGGAGCTGGCAGATTATTTTTTCCCTGTTTGTTAATTTGTTCACTCTCCAAGGCCAGGAGAATGGCTCAGGGCGCATGACAGGTCCTACTCCCAACCTGGGGGATGTGGCAAGCACTGATCCCGGCCGCAGGACCCGACACAGAGCAGGGAGGAGGCAGGTAAATGGGAGAGAGATTCTTCCCAAACGGGGAGGTGTTTGATTTGCCAGGTGGGTTAGACGCATGTACTTATCTTTTGCCAGTTGAGTGCTGGTTTTCACTGATTCGTGAGGCTCGAGTAGACTGTCTGCCACTGGGTCTCTTCTGATGTGGAAAATGCGTCCCGAGCGCCACTGCTTGCCTCACCACACATGCCAGCTTGTCCAGCCTGAAGGGTGCCGGCTCCCGCCGGGTCAGATCTGGTACCTCCTCGCTGCTTCCGAACTGTCTCTCCCTCCCCCGCCACTCATTCCAGTTGCTCAACCTTGCCTTTGATGTTCAGGGCTCCTAGATAGTCATGTATAATCGATTCACTTGCTTTTTTGGGTCTTTGTTGTAAGTGGGACCACGGGAAGCATCTGACTACTCCGCCATCTTGGCCTCGCCTCAGTTTTTGGTCTTTTGATGGTAACCTTTTATGTTTCTTAGCATAGCTTAATGTTTTTTCTTATTTTTAATTTTGTGTGTGTGTATGTATCATTTCAGTTAAATTTTTTGAGGGAGAGAAAGTAAAATGAATGGTTCAATATGCTATCTTGAACCAAAAATCTGGATTAAAAAAAATTAAATCAAAAATGTTTTTCATTTGAGAACTAACACTGAATCTTTTTGTAAAGCTTCATAAATGTTAATAAACTCTTGTCTCTCCTGAGTCATTTCTTTCGTTTTAAATACAGTTTTTTGTTTTTTTTCCACATATGCTTTTGTTAAGTGTGGGCACAATCCTGGATATGTGTTCTAGCTCTGCCACTTTATTTACTCTAATGCTTTTGAGTACCTACCACAGGCTAATTATTCTATGACATGGCATGGATATTAAGATGAATAAGAAAATAATCTCTGTCCTTAAATTTTATACAATCAAGAAGGGTAAATAAATACACCACTAGTAATATAGTTAATTGTAATATGATAGAATAAATATTCCAATCAAAATATAAAGTACTATGGCAACATCAGGGAAAAAGTGATTGATTTTATCTAGAAGATCGTAAAGGCTTCATTCACAGAAGGCATGTTAGTTGAGCTGGGCTTTGAAGAATAAATTATTCAACAGGTGGTAAAAGTACAGAAGAAGCATTCTAGGCAGAAGAAAGAGCATGAGTAGAGAGATGTAGAATAGTAAAATTTATGGAATGTTCCAAGAATGGTTTCCTACTCAGTGGCAGTAGAGCACAGAATATATAGTTAGTGAAAGGAAGTGAGGATGAAGTCACTAGCTGGGTAACCTGGGGTATGGCATTTAAATGTGTTAAGAGATCTTTTTCTTATTAGGAAAATGGTATTTACCCTATCTACCCCATAGGTAGTTATAGAGTTAAAATAGGAAAACGAAATCATGACAACTATGTATCTATTTCCCAAACTGTTCTTGTTATTTGTTGAGGTCGTGATGGGAGAAGAGAAAGAAAAGACGGTATGAAAAAGTGAATCAAACGGGGATTGAAGTGGCGCCAAAAAAATCAAATATAGAGAACTGGAATATAAGTTTTTAGAAATGTTCCCTTGTGTAATATGTTAAATTTAGGAAAGATCTTTTCTATGGCGAAGGAATATACCTGTAAAGGAATATCCCTATAGTAACTATGTAATTTTGCTCTTTTGAAGTACAGTGTCTTCCAGTTATAATGTGTTGAACTAAAACTGACTTATTTTCTTTTTTTAAGGTGGTTAAAACAGTTGGTTTGCGTGAGGTCTGGTTTTTTGGGCTGCAGTACGTGGACAGCAAAGGTTATTCTACTTGGCTTAAACTAAATAAAAAGGTAAAATATGATGACATTAAGTTAATTTGAAATTGTTATGAATTTGCTGGAAAAACATTCTAACCCTCCTCTTGCAGTTTTCTCTGTGTTAATCATTAGGAGTGGCATGCCTTTTCATTCAATTAGACATCATCTTTTTCATCAACTTTTCATCTTAGAAAAAATAGTTTTCCTATATGAAATCTTAGCACTTAAAAAATATTTATTTAAAGCAGGTATTATATATGGTACTGTGACCTTGAGTTAAACATTTGTAGGATGAGTCTGCCAGGAATATGAAGGTAAGTTGTTAGTTTGGTTATTAAATAAGATTTGTGAGTTACAGGTCACGTTCATGAAATTTAGCATAGAATTTTTTTTCTCTCTTTTTTTAAACCAATTTAGAATCTTGCCGACTAGAATCATACTTACAGGTTTAGAATCCCACTTTCTTCCAAAAAGAATTTTAGGTGAATATGTTCAGTTATTATGAAACCAGGATTTTTGTTAATCATATTCAAAATTACTGTTCCAGGTGACACAGCAAGATGTTAAAAAAGAGAATCCTTTACAGTTCAAGTTTAGAGCTAAATTCTTTCCTGAAGATGTTTCTGAGGAATTAATTCAAGAAATAACCCAGAGACTTTTCTTCTTGCAAGTTAAAGAAGCCATCTTAAATGATGAGATATATTGCCCACCAGAAACTGCGGTTCTTTTGGCTTCCTATGCTGTCCAAGCCAAGTATGGAGATTATAATAAAGAGATTCATAAACCAGGCTACCTGGCTAATGATAGACTTCTACCCCAACGGTAAGTGAAACATCCTTCGTGTTGTATTTTTTAAAAAATTATATTCGAGAAGTTTGTAAATAGAACTTTTTTTGAGATGTTTTTGGAGATTTTTGGACCAAGAAAGTATAGTTTCTAAAAGCATGACCCAGCAGCTGTATAGGTTATAGTCTGTAATTACCTAAACTTTCTTCTACTTTTTTCCTTATTCCCATAGGAAAAGCAATAAATGAAGGTAGTGATAACTTGGGCTGAAGGAGGATGTGACTGTTGGTGCTTCGTAAAAATTCTAACACAGGCACATAGGTGCTTTTATAAATGCTTTTGAGAATAATAATTGGCAGGCTATGCTTTCTCCAAAGAGTTAAGTTTCTAATTTTTTTTAAAAGGCTTTTTCCATGAAGTTTTCAGACTCCTACTTCTGTTCTTTATTTGCAGTGGCTTTTTACCTCTATAACAATTATTTTAAAATAGCATGGCTTAGGAAAAAAATCATTCGAAAACCTAGATTTTGAGTGTTGAGTCTACTCTTTGCTAGTTACGTGACCTTAGATGCATAACCTAACTGAGCCTCAGGGTCTAAGTCTTTAAAATACATGTAGTTTATATAGTTCATGACTTGCGTGATTTGTACTTTTAACTATAAAGTGTGATACAATGTTAATTGGTAGTTATTTATGAAATTTAGAAAATAACAGAATCAGATATTACTTCTGAATATCTCCGTTCTTAATTATGTTCGCACCCATGTCCCTGGTATTATAATATACATTATGATCTCTTTTAGAACCTAAAAAGAGGTAACAATCTTAGTCCAGATTCTTGAATTTTTAGAATTTTTATTTAAATGCAAAACTTTATATTACTATTAACTTAAGATTTCAGTTTTACACCACTTTCTATTAGTATTTAAGCTCTTAGCTGTAGTTTCTTAAGTACTAAATATGAAGCAGGGCTTTGAACTGGTTCATCCCAGTTCGGTCATGGCCAAGGAAGTGAAACCGGAACAGACCTGGATTTTTAAAATTTGGATGAACTGGAACAGTAACCAAAACGGGAAAAATTACAGGTCAAATCCCTGCTAGAAACCTAATTTCCCTCTTACAAAACAAGGGCAGCGTACGTGTTACATAGTAACCAGATTTCCTGCCTGTTAGATTTTGTGCAGAGTTGGAAACAACAGTGCCCTTCAAAGATGGGGGCTGACACATGTGCTGTGTGTCACTTTCCACAGTCCTGCTAGTAATCCAGTCTTACACATCAGGCTCCTGAAAGGACTCATTACGCCTCTTTTGAGTCTCCCATTCCAGGGCTTCAACCTGTAATTTTTCTTGTTCCGGTTATCATTTCAGTTCACCCAAATTGTAAAAATTTGGGTCTGTTCCAGTTTTGCTTCCTTGGCCATGACTGAACCCGGTCAAAGCCGTGGTATGAAGAAAGACAAGCTATTTCATGTCCACTTTCATTAATTTATTTTGGTTGTAAGCATTAACATTTATTTTTGGCTAATAAGCTGTATTATCTGTTTATATATGCTGTAGGAAGTACCGTTAAGTGTAGTAGCTTCAAAGTTTGATTACTAAATATTATGTTCTGCCCTTTAATATCATAGCAATAATAGTTACTGTAGAAAAAGGTAGAATAAAGCATATTGTTCATGAAAAGAACTGGGCATCAGGAATGTGAGGTATTTGTTAGTTTATATTCTTCTGGTTTTGGTTGCTCTTCCAACCCAGAATCCTTTGTGTTAGATTTTTAAACACTGAATTGAGTAATAGATGAACTAGTTCAGTAGGATTTCATTTCAGATAAGGATTACTTTTTTTAATTGAGTTATAATTTATATACAGTAAAATGCACAGTAAGTTAGATTTTAAAGTCAGTACATAAGGTAAATGTTATGTATAATCAGAATAACCTTAAAAATATCTTAAGTGTTCATAGAAGAATAGGCACACTTATCTCAACAGATACAGCACAGTTGTTCTTTCAGTGTTAGATCAGTTGCTGTTTTGTTGAGTGCCAGACGAAGTGATTGGCTTACATGACACAATAGTCATGTGATTAAAAAAAATCTTTTAAACACTGGAGTCATACTTAAGCACAATTATTTTTTTTTTTTTGAAGTTGTCTATATTTTTTTTAATTATACTTTATCTGAAAGTTTATAGAGCAAATTAGTTTCTCATTAAATAGTTAATACACATATTGTTTTGTGACATTGGTTGCCATCCCTACGACATGTCAACACTCTCCCCTTCTTGACTATGGGTTCCCCATTACCAGCTTTCCTGTCCCCTCCTGCCTTCTTATCCTTCCCCCTGGGCTGGTGTACCCATTTAGTCGTGTTTTGTTTTATGTGCCTGTCTAATCTTTGACTGAAGGGTAAACCTCAGGAGTGACTTCAGTACTGAGTTAAAAGGGTGTCCAGGGGCCATACTCTCAGGGTTTCTCCAGTCTCTGTCAGAAGAGCAAGTCTTATCTTTTTTTGTGAGCTAGAATTTTGTTCTCTGTTTTTCTCCAGCTCTGTCTAGGGACCCTCTATTGTGATCGCTGTCAGAGCAGTCAGTGGTGATAGCTGGGCACCATCTATTTGTGCTGGACTCAGTCTGGTGGAGGCTATGATAATTGTGATCCATTAGTCCTTTGGACTAATCTTACCCTTGTGTCTTCCGTTTTCTTCATTTACACAGTTCCTTTATTTTAAATGCATGTATTCTTTCACCTACTCTATTTAAAAAGAAAGAAGGTAACTGAACTGCTTTATTTAGGGTCTTATGGTAGGTAGTGTGCGTGTCTTCAATATTTTGTCCTCACCTTTTTAGATCCACAAACTCAGTTGTTCTTCCAGAGTTGGTAGTCTGTGGGGAGTCTGATTCAAGCTATCTAAGCTTACAAGATACCGATTATTAAAAAAAAAAAACGAACCCAAACCCGTTGCTGTCAAGTGGATTCTGACTCGTAAAATCTAGGTGGTAGTAGCACCGTCAGAACTCATCTGACTTCGGGGGTGATGTGAATCAAGGTCAGCCCGAGGCTGATCCCTATGAGGGGGAGATCAGACATACCTCCACTCTCCAATCCTTTTTACCAATTCTGACACCAGCCATCCCTCCCACAGCACTTCTACTTCACTTCTGGGTTCAATAATCCATTGAAACAGCCACACAGAACTCACAGATCATACTTACGATTAAGTGATTTAGTGAAGAAGTAACAGTACAACTCAGAATCAGGATTAACAGCTACAATGCAGGATCAGGAAGCATGTAGGCAGAGTCTGGAAGGCTCCCCCAAAGTGGAGAGCACATCTCTTCCCTCCTTCATTGCAGGACAGCTCTCTTAGCCCCTCTCGGTTATGCAGACCTTCTTTCAGCCCCTTCAGGACAGGTTCCAGGGGCTCCTCTTGGCCCTGCTGTCTGTCACCGCTGACTCTGCCACAGGGCCCCTTCCAGGCCTGTTGCTGCTGGCTCTGCCAGTGGGCCCCTTAGGGGCCTCTAGTTGCCAGCTCTGCTGCTGAACCCCTTCTGGGCTTCTAGCTGTCCTTGCTGTTATAGCCCTTGACCTGTATTACGGCTTTTCTAGGAGGTTCCTTGCCTCCTCTCTCTCTGTGCTTTTCTCTTCTTCCTGCTGCTTCTCTTCCTGTTTCTTTCTGTCTGAAAAAACCTCTGTGGGGTTGGCTGCACAGATACACAAACTCCTCATCAATTTCAAGGTATGGCCTTTCTACCAGTGCCAGAAACTGACCGATTTCCTCTCGGTAGGCCACAGACACTTCACTTGCATGGTAAGCTATAGTCACTTTATTTGCATAGTCAATAGTCACTTCATTTGCTTAGTGTATTGACCAATCCCTACAAGGTGGATACCAATCACAGGGCAGTCTGCAGCCCAGGGCCAGAAAAAAAATATCAAACCAAGTTGTTTACAGCTTACCCAGGAAATGTAACAAACCCCTGGGGTAGAAAAGTAGGGCAAAGGTAACTTCTCAGGGCTCAAGGGAAAAATCTCTCCAGCTGTTTTTCCAAAGAACCAAGGCAAAAGCTACATAAAGGAACTCATTTCACCACAGTAAGAATACTAATTTTTTGATACAGAACAGAGAAAATACCTTCGCAGTGGTGGGCATATCCTATTTGTGGTACATAGCATGCTCTTTCTCAGTGTCTAAGTACCTAGGGGTAAAATTAGTAATCAGAAGGTTATTTGATGATCATAAATCGAAGAAAAATAATTTGATTTTGATGGATGCTGATTTCTAGCTTTGGAAAATTGACATGAGTTGTCTGTTAGAGTTCAGCTCTATGGTGATACAGATAATCAGCCCCACCAGATACTATTTCTCTCCTTTAAAGAGGGCTAGATATACGTGAAGTTCTACATGCCAGGTTTCTGACTCAGGCATCTGGGTGGTTGGTAATACCTTTTACCAAGATTAAGAACCCAGAAGAAGGAATATACTTGGAATGAGGGTGGGTTCAGTGTTGAGCCTGTTGAGTTTGAAATACATATGGTATAAGCAAGAGAGAATCTGTATTCCTTTGGATATGTGGGTCCAGATCTTGGAGAGCAGTCTGGACTATAGGTACAGTTTTGGGAATAATCAGCAAATCGATGGTAATTAACCCATGAGAATGAAAGAGATGGACCTGAAAGTACATATACAACAACAAAAAAAAAAAA